AAAGATTGATATTATCCGCAAGATATATAACTGGTGTAGGCATAATACACTCAAAGAATACTGCACTAGTGTAGATATAGAAGGTCACACAGTTCCGATATGAATAGCTACAGGCCTGTCAACTTGGGAACACCTAACATGAGTGACTTGGAAATGTTGAACACCTCCCCTCAAAATGTGGACACCTTGGTCCAAATCTGAACACCTTGATCCAAATTTTGAACACCTTGGTTTAAACATTTTGTGTCACGCAAAAATAACTGGCGTGACTTCAAATTCTTCAGCAAATGCGTGACAAATACGCAAATTGCGGGACAGTTGACAGGCCTGTAGCTATAGCAGACTGAATAGCAGGCTTTGACATAAAGATAAAAGGACTAGGTTTTCAGCACTTCATGTAATCTGGCTCATCAATAACTGATATTATATTACAGATTGATTGCATGTTATTGTATTCATTATAAAAGATTAATTTACTTAAACAACGTAACACTGGCGGCCAGGAGGAATTTTGGTAGGGCCTCGATAAGTGGGCCTTTTTGGTATAACTTTATAGACTTAAGTGCCGTTTTGAGAGTCCAAATAAGAATTGTATAAAAAAAATAATTCGGCATTTCAAATGATCAAGAAAATCAATAAAAGATCCCTATATATATCATGGATTCCATGTAATCGTATCCGTAATCATTGAATGATCATTTTCTAAACCAATATGTTATACCTGCAGGCTATATAAATGGATAACATAGAATAGACAATGTTGGCAGTTTAAAAACGACGCAAATTTGATTTTTAACCTGTATTTCAAAAAATGAATAATTAATAAATTTTAGTTGCAACTTATATGTGGTGTGAAATATCTAAAAAAATATGTTATTTCCTGAAGAGTTCCTACAGTATGGTACCTCTAGTCTTAATATGACCCTACTCAAATACAAATTGTACACAGTTATTTCATATTGAATTTATTTTCAGAAAAATGGCAAAAAGCAAATATAAGGACATTGTAACTGTTGTATGATATGTAAGGATTATTCGAGGCATGGAATTTTAAGTTGAGCAAGTCGATCGATAAATGGACCCAATCAATCAATCTGAATTTTCCCAATGTTTTACAAATAAATCGATGTACCCCCGAATGTTCTAAAAATCCTGTTTTCCTCTGAAACGACGATAAGGTAACCCTCACGACACTTGCTCTGTTGGACGCATAAGTATGTCGTGAACCTGGACGTGAGGTGGCGCTGAGAGAGCATAAATGATAGCTGCTGAGATATCTGCAGTCTCTAAACACTGAAAATACAATAAATACTATATATCAACCGATCCCTACCCTAAATCCAAATTGACTGGCCAAATCACTATCTGACAATTTCAGGTGGTTTTATTGCTTTGTGCAAAATGGCACTCGGGTGCGTTAAACAGCTCCATGGTGATGTTCAAAATTGTAAATTGTACAAGCCTCTTTAACTGGCATCTTTGATGATATCAAAAACTTTGCAAATATACTAATTAGATACTGCAATAGATTTCTAGCTTAGCTGATCCCTGCATTATAACTCTTGGTGAATTGTCAAACTTGTTTTGATGCAATATGTTTTAACATCAGATAAAGAATTTCCTCAAATAGAAACAATGAACTAACCTTCATACTGCCATAGAGCTTTGCAGCCATATCTGTATTTGTCATTCTTTCTGCAAACTCTGTCTCCACCACACCCGGACTGATGCTCTGTAGCAATATAAAAAACAGATCCTGTAAATATCTGTATACAGGGTGTCCAATAAATAAGGTGAAAGATATTGTAACTTTCTTAATATTGCACCAATCTTGATGACATTTTCAGAGTTTGTAGCCCAAACCTTTTTTCCTTTATTCTGTATATGCAATGAAGAGTCGTATTTTGCTTTCTATATGAGTTACACGGTAAAGCCGAAAAAGATTAAGTTCTAACATAATGAACGTTTACAACACCGTAACTATAGTTTGACACTAAACTTACAGACACCCTGATATGCGATTTTAGGTCCCTTAGTTCGTGACGTAAGCCTTCTGTTAAAGCAGTGACGGCAAATTTAGACGCCGAATAGAAGTGACCCGCAGGACTTGTTATTATTCGTTTCCCCGACATACTAAAATGAATAATATGGAGAAAATAATACGTACAGTTACACGAATATGGGATTTGATATCACGTAGCTCTTGCCTTAGACCCTCGGTAAGCGCAGTGACAGCAAATTTACTGGCGGTGTACCAGTGCGCAATATCTCTATTTCCAACAATGTGTCCAGAAATGCTACAATAAAATTGTTTGCTAATGGAGAGCATTATTAGATTCATTTTGACTCTCAGATAGATATAGATAATGAATGACGAAACGTAAAAATGTATATAAAAGTGATACTTATAAGAATAAAACAAATGATTGAGTAACAGTAACAAAGCAAAAAAATCGTTATTTAAGTATTCAAAATAAAAATTAAAAGCAATTAGTAAATTTAGGCTTTGTTCACACAAAATACATCTAAAAAAAACTGGGTGTCATTTGAAGCCTAAGCCAAGACCTGTTGATCACTGGCCTCTGCAGTGTTTCTTATAGCATTATATATACAAAAAAAGAGTTATACAAGTATAAGCAATTCCTGTTTACATGAATTAGGTGTCCATCATGAACATATTCCTGTGTCTTATTGACTGTACTTTATTATAACAGTATACACACAAAAAGGTTATATAAGCAATACCTGTTCACATGAATTATGTGTCCATCATCAACATATTCCTGTCTCTTATTGGCTGTACTTTCTTATAACAGTATATACAGAGCGTATCAAAAAAACGCAACAAGTAGTTATCTCGTAAAATCACAAAACTAGTGATGACTACATCAATTTCATTCCATGTACCATAAAGCCACGCCTCTCCTCTTTGCAATGATATGTCATTCATCCACATGTGGTAATGGTTGGGTGAGAATTCTTCCATTTGCACAGTGGGTGAAAATCGGCTCTGGACCAAGTTTTAGATATTGCAAAAATCAGTGACGTGTCGCAAAAAGGTGGGTAAGGGTATCGCGTGAATGTAACTTTGATTCCCCGGAATATAAGATAATATTCTAATTAAAGTTATATATCATTTTAAAGCTGTTTCGATGAAGATTTTAGATCAACTACACTCCGTTCACATTTTTTGCGCGTTCGTTTTTAAAAAAGAGTTTTACCAAAACATCTGGCAAATATCCTATGTTGACACGTTGCATTTTGAATTATTTTTCGTCTTTAAACGCTCATAACTCAAACAATATATGACTATTATACTTATTTTTCGTCTTGATAAAGGTAGATGGAAGTTTTATTTCAAAGGATGAATTTTAGTAAGCGTCCCATATTGTGACGTCATAGAGTCTGAAAAATAGAATCTGTTGACAGCGACCTTTTTTGCTCATTTTTTGGTACCTTCAACTTTTCAGGTGTACATTAAACAAAAAATACGAGATAAATTTTTAATAAATCATACATGATTATTTTGCTCCTAAACTCTAGTTTATTAATAATTAGTTGATTTTGTTCTCAAAAGTATGTGTTTTCTGTTGTATGTGGAAAAGTGGAGGACGAAAGGTTTTCAAAATTCATTAAAATAGGGCTAATTTATGCCATTCGCCTATTTTCAAGCACAGCAACACGTATATTTATTTCACCTAAAATATCAATTGATTCGTGTTTTATGATGCTCCTAGCCCATTAACAATATATATATGATATCAGAGTTATTCGTCTAAAATGTTTTGAGATATAGAGGTAAATGTGGAGGACGAAAGGATTTTCATGTGTGTACATTTTTCTCAAAAACGTCACATTCTTCTATCATGTTAAAAGCGAGGATCCTCTGGATTACGCCACAAAATGTGTAACAATGCGTGCGCGAGCTTTTTGCGACCCGTCAGTGCAATGGTTAAGTTCCAATGGATGTTCCCCTGACTTGAATTGTTGTGACTTTTTCTTTTGGAGCTATCTCAGGAGCATCTGTGCTTACGATTCCTTCACCAGATATTGCAAAACCTCGAGGAAGAATTGCCCATGGGCTGCTTTTCTCTGGTTTAACCCACAGATGACTCAGGACTGAACCATGCATGACGTGGACAGATGAGTGCATCTTTATGTGCAAGGAAGTGGTGGCAATTTGGAGGGATATAGGATGTATTCTTGCAAGAGTATGAATATGAACACTTTACTGTCTATGCCACACCTGTCACACCTTCTTCCAATAGCCCCCATGCCCCTTGTACTGACTTTTGCAATGTTTGAAACTTGAGTTCGAGCTGAATTGTGTCCCACTTTGCAAAATTAATGATCATTCGGCCAGCCATGACTTCCTGTGAATGAATGATATTCCATTGCAGAGAGGAGTAATTTGGCTTATGGTACATTGAATGAAAAGGATGCAGTCAGCATTGGTTTTATGTTTTCCTCCAATATTGCAGCGGGCTCCGTACACTGACTTTTGCGATGTTTATAACTTGGTCCCAAGCTAATGTTGGCCCACTTTGCAAATGGAATGATTACTCGCCCAACCATGACCAAATATCAATGAATGATATAGCATTGTAAAGAGGAGACACATGGCTTTATGGTGCATTGAATGATATCAATGCTGTTATCACTGGTTTTGTGCTTTTCCGAGATAACAATCTGTTGCGTTTTTTTTATACGCATTGTACACAAAAAGGTTATATAAGCAATACCTGTTTACATGAATTATGTGTCCATCATCAACATTCCTGTCTCTCATTGACTGTACTGCTTCCCGTGTACAGACGCTTAAACCTATCACATTCACCTAAATATCAAGAAAGAATTCATTTGCATACTGAAGCCTCAGACACATTTGCTCCACGGTGGGCATACGGCGGCCATAGCTTCCCAAATCGATATAGAAATTCTACATCGTACTGCTTATCATTGTATTTTATGCGGCAAATTTCTACCGAATTTGGAAAGCTACGGCCGCCAAACGGCTGCCGTAGGTCAAATGTGACTGAAGCATTTGGCATGATTTGTGAAATAATATAACTTGTTCCCAAGATGATACCAATAATACAATACATTGCAAATGGCTTAGGCTGATAACATAAATTGTTGACCCCATTCCACATACATGAGACAATACTGACCTCAAGCATATTTCTCCATTTTTCTGTCGATCCAGTCAAAAGAGTTTCTGCATGAGCGAGACCTGGAACAATAAAATCAGTTTATTTATTCAATGCTATCGCAATATATGAATATTTTATACTGACCCTGAAAACTTCAAAATCGCTTTCATGAGATAGCTAAAGTGAATGACAAAAAATAAACAAATAGATCGATGCAAACAAACCTGCATTGTTGATACAGACATCTACTCCTCCAAACTTTAACTTTATTTCATTAAACATGGCCAAGATTTCATCTTCCTTTGTAAGGTCACATTTGATTGCGTACAAAGACCCGTTACTAGATTTCAGGTCCTCTGAAGCTTTCTAAAATGGAACAATGAACCATGTCAATTGCGAGATAAGCTTACAGACATGTTTGATAATCAAAGAGCATGCACACGTTGCAGTTGTATTGAGAGCACTCCTCAAGGCGAAACTAAAAGTCAAGGGTTGAGGCTCGTATGTGCAAAGAGTGCATGGTATGAGTCATTAAACATGACTTGCAAATACTAATTTTAACAATTCTATAAAATGCAATTATAAATCAACTGGTTTGTACAATGGCAGAACAAGTCCGTTGCTGGATTTTGTACATTTCATAGTTGTTGGTTGTTGGTCCAATGACATTTCCATAAACAAAATTATTGGAAACGTCTTTCCCATTTGGGGAACGTATTTAAGGTTCAGCTGGAAAGTAACATTTTGATAAAAAATTGCTATACCTGCACATGTTATTTTCTGGTACAAAATTATGTATGAAAGCAGGTGTATATTTCATTGTTTTTTTCAGGAAAGTATCATTACATTGTCTTCTATTAGTAAACCTGGAAACAGGTCAACTGTAGCTCCTGTGTTGTCTGGAAACTTTGAAAGAAAATTTGGAAAAATAGAAAGTATGAAATATCAGAATTTCCTGGAGTTCCCATTGACCTCTTGCCAGACTAAAAGCAGACAATGTAGTGATACTTTCCTGAAAAAAGTAACGAATTTAACACATGCCTTCATACTTTATAGTGTATCAGAAAATAACATGTGCAGGTATAGCATTTTTTACCAAAATGTTATTTTCCAGCTCTGTACCTTAAGGTCAGTGTGTACTTTGGAATTTCTTTGTGATTATGAAATGTAGACCACTGAATAATATACATGTAGTTATTCATACATTCAAAGAATTATCAATCAATAATCTGGTTCCACGAATGCACCTTTTATGCAAAAATGAAAGATGTATACCATGAGTTTGAATGAGTTACGTTTATCTGAAAATAGCACATGGTCATATTTCATCAATGTACACCCTGGCCTTAAGGTACAGCTGGAAAGTAACATTTTGGTAAAAAATTGCTATACCTGCACATGTTATTTTCTGGTACAAAATAAAGTATGAAGGCATGTATCAATTTCCTTGCTTTTTTCAGGAAAGTATCATTACATTGTCTTCTTTTAGAATATCTGGTAGGCATTCAAAGGGAACTCCAGGGAATTCTGATATTTCACACTTCCTGTTTTTCCAAATTTTCTTTCAAAGTTTCCAGACAACACAGGAGCTACCATTGACCTGTTTCCGGGTTTACTAAAAGTAGACAGTGTAATGATACTTTCCTGAAAAAAGCAAGGAAATGCACACATGCCTTCATACTTAATTATGTACCAGAAAATAACATGTGCAGGTATAGCAATTTTTTACCAAAATGTTACTTTCCAGCTGAACCTTAACCGGATGTCAACTAATCATACGATTAACCAAGAATGTATATTCACGTTCAAATTACCTGGATTTTCTCAATATTTCTTGCACACCCCACTACTGTCATACCTGCCTTCACCAGATCCTCAGATAGTTTGGCACCAATACCTACAGAGGCCCCTGTTACTAGGGCAACGCGACCAACCCACCTTTGCATTGTTATTATTGTGACGAACTTGGGTCCTTATTTGTTACAAGTTTATGTATATAGTGATCGATTCTTCCAGAAACCGAAGCTATTGTACTGTCCAGTCAGTGCAGTTGACAGAGATGATTAACTGATTTATACCACGCTGTGAATACACGTCCACACTGGCAGCCTGCTGTTTTGACTGAAAGATTGATATTATCTGCAAGATATATAACAATCAGTTATACCTGTATTAGAAGGAGCAATGGTCCAATAAACTACGAGTAAATATATTATAAGTGTATTCACAGTGATAACTCTGAAATCGTACACTTGAGTTATATAGTAGGTTACACAGCTCCAATATGAATAGCAGGCTCATATACGTACAACTGCAGCAACTGTTCGGTACACAAAACGACCGGCGGATGTTTTGTGTACCGTGTTATTTTACTCCTTAAAATGTACTTTTTTGTACATTGTATTGTGAGGAATATATCAAATTGTATAAAAGGCATGTGTTATTTATTATTTTATAACTTTACCATATTTTTGTAGGCCACTTCATTATTTTATAAGTTAAATCTTCAATAGGCTAGATGCGCAGGATTATGTGTGCACTATTTTTGTAGGCCACTTCATTATTTATTTCGTTAAGTTAAATCTTCAATAAATGCGCAGGATTATGTCTGCAATTATAATTTTACCAAAAAATTGAATATAATATAAAGAAAAATTAATTTTGATAAATTAAATGTACGATCGGATACAATGCCGGATACTATGCGGCTGGTAAGACGAGATATTGCTAACTTCATTTAACAAAAACTTGATACGTTTCTTTAGGTTAAACAAAGTTATAGGTCTTTTAAGTCAAAAATATTTTTCAGAAAACCTCTCACATTGAAATAACACAGGAGGCGAAAATGATTTTCAAAAATGACTTTGAAGCTATGTAAATTAAGTATTCATAGAGTAAGCCAAAAAATTAGTGTACAAAAAGTTACACAAATCAATTATCTACATACAAGTATTTTTTGTTTAATTTTTTACTGAATAAATACTGTATCCTGATTTCTGATTTGCCCCGAACCCACCATTTCCCATTGGTTTACATGGGAACGACGACTTTCAAAAATTCATCAAATTTATCATCAATTTTCAACCTATTGTAATTGAGGAAAAAATTGGAAAAATTTGGAGGCATTGGAAATGTGGCCAAGTTAAGTTTTCAGCAATAAAACAAGTATTTTATTTAAGAAATAAAAATAAAAGGTTAAGAAAAAAAATTCAAATATAAAGTGGCTTTAACACGTAGTTCAATGAGGGAGCTAAGGTTGCCAAACTTCTGGAGGGGAGTGTAAGTAAAATATAAATATATTTTATAAGTGTTATTCATTGTGTGTGATAATTATCAAATATAACATAAACTAATCTATAAAGATGTATTGTTTCTAAGAATAGGTAAGTAACTTTTTCTTTTTTTCTAATTTAATTATATCACCTCAAATAAAAATAAAGCGCAGACAATCTAAATTTTGGGCTCTAAAATATGTTTAAGCTTAAATTTGACTGACTCAATTGAATCAAGAAAATGATCATATGAGCTAAATGATGTAAAAACAATGTATTGTAACTAAATATGAATATGTACTGTAATATGTAAATGATGTGAAATAAATAAAGTAGAAAAAAAAATAATATAAAGATGTTTGTAAGTGTTAGGCCTATTCATTGTGTTAAATTTTAAATGGAAGACTGTTTGAATTAATTGACACCCCCCCCCCCCCCAAGTAAAAAAAAACCATTAAGAATTAAAATTCAACACGTTTGAAATTAGAGTTGAATTATTTTATTTCCGGTTGATATAACGTCTTAGCGTTAGTGAAATTGAACGCGATTTCAACTGATTGGATAACATGATGTGATCATGAGTAGGTTATGTGAGTGGATGCACGATGGGATCGTGTTATTCTGCGAGTAGCAACCGAAGCGTTTATACACAGTTTTAGCATGATGCGTCTATTTTTGGTGCATTCGGTCTTTATCATTTAGCCCTTGTTTATATGCTTATATTGATACCTAAATATACGATGAACAGAGGATGCATGTACTGCAATACCGTCAATGTGTTTCTACATTGGATTGATACTCATCTTTCGTGCTGATGCAGTAAGAAAACGCCAACGATTTGGCAAGGGTAAGAAGTAGTTTATATTGAAACAAGTAATCTTTTGCAATTTCGTAAGGTTTAGAAAAGATAGAAAAGATTGTTGGACCTTTTATGAAAATGCTCTGCATAAACAATTTAAACGATTTTATACATGTAAACCCGAAAAGTGACCATGTGATCGTTTGAGTTCCAGTAACATCGAAAGATGCGACGCTACCCGAGAGGTGCGCCGGTGCATGAGAAGAAGTAACGCTGAGGGCCAATGTTTGGATTGTGAGTAACGCTAAACAAGGAGGGTTCAGCTATCGCAATGAATAAGATAAGTAGTTGTTAACAGATTTGCTTAGTATATCAAATATCCTTTTTTAATGTAAGGATACTGGGTTTTGCTAAACATATTTAGATTGGTCATAGGTGCAGGAGCACTAAAGATTGCAAGATCTATTGTTCAGTCACGGGCAAGACGCCACACTGCTACATACGTTAGATATTTGTAACTTGACTGTCAAAATGTTCATGTTTTTGAAATCTTTCAGATATTTAGGTAACAACGCAAACTGGTACGTTTTCAGATGATTTGTATAAACTGCATTTTAGGTGTTTTTAGGGAGATGGGATCCATACAAACAAACATCCTATTTAGATGTGGCAGTTTTTAAACCGGAGTTACGGTTTTAGGATTGTTAAGTTGTTTCAGACATGGTATTAGCAAGGTGCAAATATGCTCCCTCAGTTTTGCAAAAAACAGCGTTGGGCAAAGATTTTTAAAATGATATTTTATAGCAAACGTTTTTCAAATGAACTCTGTGTTGCGCATATACAGAGATAGATATTACAATTATAGTTTTTGTATAAAGTTGTGCAACGTAAGCATTTTAATGTTGTAAGTCATGACAAACAACTAACGAGTTGTGTTACTGAAGAGTCATTGAATTGTTAAATGTCGTCAATTGGTGAGCCATATTGGTATACCATTTAAGTTATTTAAGCTAATAACGCGTATTTGTATTTAGAACAGACATTAATTGTCGTGAATCGTTACTGGGAAGGTTGGATTCAGACATACACCTTGGATACTTCATATCCTTCAAGTGAAATTGTACACTTGTATTTTCATATCTTTTATTATCAAGAGGATACTTGGATTCGACAGATTCATAATGAATTTTTGTGAGCTACATGTTATCGCACACATCTTCGTTTGCTACTCAAAACATTCATTCATATTTAGAAATGATCAAAATGCCATTAAAGGGCTCTGAGAGTAATCATAACAGTCTTTTTGGTTGGGAAATGTCGTGAATCGTTGCCAGGAGGGTAGGGTTCAGGCATATGTTTTAGATACCGAATATCCGTACAAGAATAAATTGCATACTGTATAAGTTTCTATATTCAGAACTTTTCTTCTTCAAAGATAAGTTGCTTAATTATGGAGAATATTTTATTTGACTGATTCAGTTAAATAAACTGCTTGATCAAATCAGTTCTAAGAGTAGTCGTATTCAGGCTCAAACAGTTAATGTTGATAGATGCAAAAAGGTTACTAGAATATTTTTAATTTGCATGTTCATAAATAGCTTTTTTGCTTAAAATATCGGGGAGCGATATCTTTGAATACTGGTTATGTGAAATAGAAGTGAAATGCTGGTCTATAAAAGTGCATTGTATAATATCAGCATTTTAAGTTTACTAATAAGGTGTTTATACCAACAGTTTGGTCTAGTATCTCTGTTTATAACATTGATGAATAGGGTGGTTATCTTTGATGGTATGTTGTGAATCGATACATGGGTAGTCGGATTCAGACATATGCTTGGTACGCATACTTTACAATAATGGTTGTATTTGCTTACTTTTCGTCTTTAACACTCTTGTTTTCGATTTGTTTGAAAATCGATCGATACTTTTCTAAAGCGATTAGAAGATTTTGAATAAATACTTAAATAGTCTGATTAGGCAGGTGAATTGATTTCCCGAATATAATCATTTAGGTTTAAAACCTGGACTATTTTTTAGAAGATAGTTGATTTGTCTTGATTCGAGACTGGGAGTAGACAGATTTGGACATTTCCTTTGGTTACATTGTTAGATAAATGCATGATTATTGCATGTTGAATAGTTTATCGAAGATTAAATAAAAACTTGCGGAGTTGCTCCATACTTGAGACATTTTGAAATAAGCGAGAGCTTAGTGTGTCATTCCTGGTCCAAATGATAATTGTACATTTCTAGAGTTTACTGTATATAGCATAGAGAAATCGATGTAAGATAGACAATGGTTTGAGTTGACACATTGGGTATTTTGATCCAGGTATGTTTTCTGGATGATCCATGTTTTTACAAATATCGATGTTTAAAATTTATTACTGCATATAATTTTGGTTAAAATTGAGCAAGTTATTTGAAAGATGATAAAATCTTTAAGAAGAAAGATGAAATGCCAAGAAACTATTTTAATCTGGTATATTCACGGATGTATTTAGAATGCAGAGCGAAATTGAAATATTACATTTTTAGATTTTAAAGAATCAAACGAATTGTTGTGAATTGATTTTTGAAGTTGTCAATTCAGATAGACTACGTGATCGTTATGTTTTACCTGCAGCGACAAGAAATACACTTGGTAAAATTACATATTTGAACTGTGACTGAGGATTGTTATTATGTTTGGCATTATAGCCATTACGTTGAGAAGTTGTTCTGTAGAATAAAAATTGTTGTCATGCTTGACATTATAGCCATGACGTCGAATAGTAGTTAATATGGTTTTAAGATGATAGTTGTGTTCCTAACAACATTTATGATATTAGTGTGACGAACACATTAGAGAAGTGTTCGTCAGCTAATTGCATTCTATATTGAACATGTTTGGCATTATGGCCATTACGTCGAGTAGTTGTTCTGTTAAAGCACAGTTGGCACTCCGACATAAAAATTGTTATCATGTTTGGCATAATTACCAGAACGTCGAATAGTTGTTCTGTTGAAGTACAGTTGGAACTCCGACGTAAATATTGTTGTCATGTTTGGCATTATTTCCAGTGCGTCGAATAGTTGTTCTGTTGTAGTACAGTTGGAACTCCGACGTAAAAATTGTTATCATGTTTG